TGTGCATGGTACACCGCTAAGATGGCATCTTGTATCAATAAAATAACGTGTGTTAGTTTTTGTTTACATGATGGCATGGAACGCCATTTGACGTTGCACCCATGTCACGTAAGTTCTCTTATAAGTATTAAAGTTTGCTATTTAGTTACTCGGCCTTTGTGCCATGATGTCCAATTTAAGTAGGGATCGGCATTGGGTACTCGTGGGAGAAAGTTGCGCATTTTTGGTGTTAAACATGTGTTTCTTTCTTGGTTGAAGTCTCTTAGTGCAGAAGTCAACAACATGACTCACCATTGCATCACCACATTCATTTCATTCGCCCAACCGAGCTCATTTGCAAATTGAGATGCCCACATCAATAGAAAGACGTAATTAGCTCAATAGTTACTTGATATGCACACTACGTAGCTCTTGTAATTTCTAGGATCACAAAAACAAAGTTTCGTTGCATATATAAGAGAAAATACACAACAAAACACATACTTTTTTGTAAACTAAAACATAAGACATTATTCATATCGCAAGTTAAGAAAAACGTATACTATTACAAGCGATATCATTATTCTAAACTACACTAAGGGAATGGGAGAGTGAAAAAAGGTTTGAACCTGGGACACTGTGTGCTGAAAAAGAAAATCATATCCACCAGGACAATTCACAGCATGCTGTTGGACAACTGCCATGCATACTTAGTCCATCCATCGGCTACAGAAAAGCATACCAAATATGAACACCTCCCAATGCATATCACAGGCTTTGCATTCCCCATTCCACTCGATTTGCTTTTGCCCAATCATGGTGGCTTCCATCATTCCAACAGTCCAGTCATTTTCTAAATCAGCTCCACATGCACTACAATGTAGTTTTTGCTCACAGTACGGCAAGATGGTGCTGAAAACCATCTCCTTACTCACATATGGCATGCCTCCAACATATTCAGCCATTCTGTCCCTACATTCCTGTAAATTCGATGGATTAACTGCATTAGACATGATGTTTAGACCTGTTGGGACCTCGTCTCCCCCGGACATCACCAAAATCGAGCCATATGCAAGGGATGCACATGGATGCCCGCCGTTAGCTGCGCGCATCAGCCATTCTCGTCCCAGCACGCTGCTGGTACTTCCTCTACCAAAGTAGTGATCCATTCCATGTCGGAACAAAGCCTCTTCGTTCCCGTGCTCCCGGCAACGGTCCACGAGGTCCTGGTATCTGTTTCCATAAAAATCAACCTGAGGGAAGTCCGGAACATCTACCAGTGACATCTGCCGATATATTGACTCATTTTCGTCATTGTTATCTGTGTCGAAGGGAGGCATTTTTTTTATGATGTACTACTTGGATTGATTCACAAGTGACCGAATGTTTGCTTGCAAAATGAACATGGATAGACTCAACTCCAGCTGCCTATTTATAATCTCCAATGCTATGTTTCGTAGTGAATACTTTGTGCAATGTAAGCACCCTAATGTTGCAATTCAGTGTGGGAATTATCATACATTCATCAAACAACTTAGAAAGTTATAATATATCTTTAAAAGGCTACATTCGAATCGGATTTATTCCATCCAAATTTGAATTAATAGTGCATGTATAATCGGATTATTAGATTCGAATTATTGAATTTAACTTATAAATCCATATTCCCATAATTACTAGATACATAATTGATATGATGATTATTTGGTTAATATTAAGATCATAGGATGCATTTGTTACATTGGACTATCTCAAACTGGACTAACTTCAACGACTAAGCTAGACTAGCTTGGCTTGGACTAAGCAAGATAAGAATAATAAAGTGCTTAGTGCAGTATCAGACTAAACTATGGACAAAATATTTTTTTAGGACCCAAATTATTATTTTTGATCCACACCTTTTAAATCATTTTTTATTTTTACCATTTCTTCAATTTCTTCTCTCATTGTCTGCAAAACAAAACAAAACAAAACAAAAAAAAAGAATTCACAAATTGCTCTGCTTCAAGACCCTTCACCAGTTCACCCTTCTAACAAGAGATCGAGAAGTAAATTCACAAAGTGCTCCTACGTATTCAACCACCGACTCCTCACCCCTCACCCTTCTCTGTTGTTGAAATCGGAAGAACTCATTATTTCTTCTCGCGCAAATTGCAGATGAGGATATGGGAAGGGGAGCGGCAATTGGGATGGAGGGGTTCTGGGTGGTAATCGGATTAAGATTTTAGACTGCGGTCACTGGAGAAGGTCCGCTTGAGACGGTTAGATTAAGGCACCTATAGCTGGTTCCGGAGTCGAGGCGAGTCGAAGTTAGCGTCATTTAACTTAATCCTTTGCTGCATCAAAGATAGGATTACAGTCCCCACTTAGTCTTGTCCCTCTTAAAGAAATGTAACACAACGGGACGTTAAAGTGCTTCTTGCAAAAAGCATTTTAAATACTTTTAGAACACAAAAATATTTTCTTTAAAATATTTTAATCTATTTTCAAAAAACTTCCAGACGGGTATTCTTTAGTTTTGAAGGCTATATGTATGTAATATTAAGGATCAGACCTAACGCGTAGAGCTAGGCCATGGGCCGACCCAAAGCCTAATATGTAAGGCCCCTGACCCTACCCATTTGAAAGGCGTGTTGCTATCTAAATACATATTACCACCATACAGTCTTTGTTAATTTATATTCTTTAATCTTCTTTAATTCTTTCGATTCAGCTGTTTGATAATAGAAAAAAATGTGTGAAAAGTAACAAAAAATGTAAATAGCATCGCACCTTAAAAATGGCTAAATAAAGCCTGGCCCTGTGATTTGGTCGGGCCGGGCCATAGAGCATTGATCCTTTTTACAGATCTAGTTGGAAAGATTTAGTAAAATAAGAAAGTGATTAACCTAACTTAGCGACAATAGGAAACAAAATCCTATTTACAATTAATCAACAAAATTACTCATGTCAACACTCCTCTTTAAATTGGTGCATAAATATATCTAATGCTGACTTTCTAAGTGAATTGTAAAACACCTTTTTACTTTGACACTACCTACATCAAGATATTTGCTAGTTAATCTTCATACTTCACAAACGGAAACCAAACATCTTGAGCTTCCAACTTCTCTTTTAACAAAATATTTACCTACTTCAACATATTTCGTACAATCATTTTGAACTGAATTATGAGCAATGTCATAAGCAACCTTTTTATCATAACATAGGTCCATCATCAGATTAGATTAAATCCAAGTTGAGTCCACAAATTTTTAGCCAAATAAGTTGGAACATATTCATTGTCTATCTCTTTATATTCAACTTCGGTGTTTGAGCTAGCAATCAACTTTGCTTATTGCTTCGTCAAGTAATTAAATTATCCTCAGGAAACATAAAGTAACTAGATTTGGACATTCTACCTGTAATAATACATAGTATTCACTAAGAGAGTGCATAAATATACTACCAAACTCACAAGATATGTAAAATTAGGTCTTCAAACTAAATTTTTTTTTTTTTTTAAGAAGAAGAGTACGATATTTCATTCATACTAATCTTTACTACGTTGTTTGTTATCTAAAACTAGATTGAGATACGTTCCTTAATGATGGTTTTGCACAATCAGAGGTTTCCAAAAGAGCATTCCTATTTCAATTAACAAGTCTAAAATATAATTCATTTAAGATATCGATAAATATATAGTGCTATAAAAAAATGGATTAGGTGGTGGCCTTACCATAACATTCTACCTTTTTCGAGATCGAAAAAACTCACAGAGGTATTTTAGCCTTCCTCTAACCACCGCTATGTGATTCATCAGTATCAGGAATCGAATCCAGAACCCAACATATATTATTGACTTGGAATTTTTGTAAAATTACATTTTATTTAATTTCACTTTAATTCGATGACTTAGAATTTTCTATTATTGACTTGGCCACCACCAGTCATTTTGCATGAAAGTGATGGACACTTGGCTGTTAGCCATACCATGCATGCAGTGCCACTGGGTGTCCCCACTGTCCATGATCTAGGGTGGTGATGCAAATATGCGTTTCTCTCTGGGAATCTGGTATTCATCACCCATCAACACATGTAATCACCTCTCTTGGCAGTTCGCCATCACACCATCAGCACATTAAAGCATGGATGAGTTCTCATGGAGTAGTCGGTCTGAACCAAATTTACGTGTTTTTATAGGAGGAAAATTCTCGTTTGAGTGACGGTGATGTTTGAAAATTTTCGTTCGAGGTGATGTTTACCAACGTATTGACCGCACTTAGAGAGCTTAAGTTGTCAAATTGTTAATTTTTTAGTCAAGTTAGTGGACTACTTTTGATTTAATAATAAAGAAAACTAATGAAAATGATTTGAAAACTTTAAATTTTAACGATAAGAACAAAATAAAAGGTAACGTAAATAGTACCAGATTGACTTTTTAGTATAAAAATATAGTTTTTCGTTAAAGTGAATAGTACCGGAAGCTTTTTATTAAAGTTCTCTTAATAATATTATACAAATTTAGTTACTTGCTTAATTAGATACGTGTTGAATTTTATTACAAAACGCCCTAATATTATTAAAAATAGAACTATTCATTTATTAGTAATATGAATATATACTCTGTAATGTCAAGTCAAGTCATCAAAATTTTCAAGTCGGGTTAGGTACCCACTACTAGTCATACTAATATTGTCTTTACTTAATCATCAACAAAATCTAACATGTGTTAAATTTTAACACAAAAAGTCTTGAGTTATTAGGAGTGGAACCCTTCATTTATAAGTAGCAATATTTTTTTTGTCATGTTTCAAACCTGGGATTATATTCTTCAACATAAGTTTTAAGTTTTGTACAACACGTATCATCTCATGTAACAAGTGATGTGTATATGTTAAGTCGATTAATAAATTGATTGTATAAGTTGAACGTTCAAAACATAATTTATTTACACGTGGCCACCGATTGACCACGAAGAACCTACTTCAAGACATCAATGAAGCTCGAATAAAGAAAAGTAATAGTGTAAATATGAATTTTGGAAGCATTGCAAGAAGAGCTTAAATGCTGGCTCTGAAAGCTCTCTCTCTCTAACGTACAGAAGAAGAGCCTGCCCCAGTTGGTGTGTTTCTGTTGTGGTTGTCCTTTTCTCTCATGGAATTTGGAATTTGGATTTAAATTCAGACTTCTTCAATATATATACACACACACAGTTGTTTTTCAAGTTTCAAGGCTCAAGTAAATGAAAGTTTCAAGGCTCAAAGGTCAGTGATTCTGTTAGTTCTTTTTTTTTTTTTTTCTTTGACAAGCTTTAAATTCCTATCTTTAAATTCTCTTGAATTTAATTTTTCTTATAGACTGAGGTTTTTTTTTCCTTTAAATTAGAGCGATATCCGAAGTATTATGTAGAGTAGGATGATTTAATTCTAGCCACCTTGGCTCCGCCCTGGTTTGCCTAGACTGAGAAATTGGCTGGTGTTTAGTTTCCAAAGCTAATGTGCAGAAGACTTTCATTTGATTGTTTTGTTTTTAATTGGAATGTTTTGAAACTGTTACAAGTCCTTGAGTTTGAATGTTTGTTTTGAAGGATGGGAATTTCAAGTGTTGAAATGTCTTGGAACCCAACATTCTTTTAGTCTACTTTATTTGGTGGTTCATCTGTGATTTTTTGGGTTTGCAAAGAAACAAGAGTTATGAATTGACAGATACTACAATCTTCAGGGTCTGGAGCACAATTTGTGAATTCTCGTCTATCGATTTTATCGCCATTGCTTTGATAATTCTGCTTCCAATAAGCACCTAGTTCTGTAACCACATCCCAGTGAAAAATAAATTCATTGATAACTGATGGCAGAAGAAGATGGTTCATATTCATATGGGAACACAAGGAAAAGTCCTATCTACGTTTTCTTTAAGGATTGCAGGTATATTATTTCGATCGATTTTATGCATTTTACATTCCTTTTCCCTGTTTAGGAGCCACCTTGGTTTGTAATTAAAGCTTTTGTTAAACTGAACCTAGCAGAAAAGCAGTGAAAAGTACTTTCTATAAGCAACTCGAGCTTTTTACTCACAACCATTGGCTGTGGTGATTTTATTATCCATGGCTAGACCAGCTCAGACTTTCTTACGTCTGATATGTTTGCTCCAAGAGCCATATTTTCCAAATGATTTTATTATTGCAATTAAGAGAAAGTAGTTATCATCTCCTTTCCTGACAAATCATGTAGTCCTGCGATTTCCTCAATTAATAAAGTTAAGTGAATTGTAATTACAATTGAAACGACCGAAAAAGATTGTATGTGAATTAATGTACATAGATGGTCTAATCTTATTCTTGGATTCTCTCTCCTTATGTGTAGATGTGTTCTTAATTTGGACAAACTTGGTTTAGAAATAGCATCAATTGCATTGCCTGCGGCGCTAGCTTTGACAGCTGATCCAATCGCTTCTCTAGTCGACACAGCATTCATTGGCCAAATAGGTACTTTTCTTTCTTTTTTGTGTTTTCGTTTTCAACATTGCCTATGTTCTTCGATCTGAAATGAATTATCTTAATGTTTAAAGGTCCAGTGGAGCTTGCTGCTGTAGGAGTTTCTATTGCTCTATTTAATCAAGCATCCAGAATTGCAATATTCCCACTTGTTAGTGTCACAACATCTTTTGTTGCTGAAGAAGATACTATTGGAACAGTGAGTCCCGAGGCAAAGGACAGTGATTACCTGGAAACAGGTTCATCAACTAATGGTGAAATGAAACAGTTGATACCAGAAAGCGGTATGCTCCATATCTTTTTCCTAATGTACTTCGTATGCAGTGTGTACAGACTTACAGAATGTGATTGCATTAAGTTTGTAAATGCTTCTTACTTGATAGTTTTATTTTTCTTCAATGTTATTTCTCAGATGCCACTCAGAATGCATACAACTCAAAATCCGTTGCTACAAGCTTTGAAATAGTTACAACCAATCATCAGAAAAGGTATATCCCGTCAGCGTCATCAGCGATGGTTATCGGCAGCATCCTTGGCCTCATCCAAGCCATATTCCTCATATCTGGAGCAAAACCTCTATTGAACTTTATGGGAGTTGGTTCTGTAAGCTAATCATTTTCTTTTTGGCATATGGTTTTACTTAAATAATTTTTTGTATCAAACGCTAAAATGCTATGTACTCTAATTTCTAATAACAAAAGGAACTATTGTTCGTTTAGGATTCCCCTATGCTAAAACCTGCACAGCAGTACTTGATGCTGAGATCGCTCGGTGCTCCTGCAGTTCTTCTTTCACTGGCTATGCAAGGGATCTTCCGTGGGTTCAAGGATACAAAAACTCCTTTATATGCCACTGGTATACCTTAACGATGTTAAACTTTAGCTTCTGACTGCATCTATTTCACCAGAATAAAACAGTCTTCAGCTTGTTCTAATCCATAAACTATCTGTTTGAATTTAGTGGCAGGAGATGTAACAAATATAATATTGGATCCAATATTTATTTTTGTTTTCCATCTGGGTGTCACCGGTGCAGCTATTGCTCATGTTATATCTCAGTAAGTGTTATCTAACTCCTTTCCCAAGTTTCGTGTTTGTGTTCAGTCCTGTTGTCTTGGTGTGCTTTCTATGGAATTCTACATTGTATGCCAGCTTTGCCTGTTATCGATAAAATGGTCATTGTACGCAGGTACTTGATATGTTTCATACTCCTGTGGAGATTAATGGCTCAAGTCAATCTATTACCCCCAAGTATCAAACATCTCCAATTCAGTCGATTTCTTAAAAACGGTGAGATTTTATTCTGTAATCCTTAGGCCTTGCTTTTAGTGACCCGAAAACATTGGAAGCATTTGTTAAAAGATAGTTAATGTTAATTATGAAGTTTATCCCCATTAGTCTTTCTTTACTCCAGGTTTTCTGTTATTAATGAGGGTCATTGCTGTTACATTCTGTGTGACTCTGGCTGCATCGTTGGCTGCACGTCAGGGACCGACACCCATGGCTGCATTTCAAGTCTGCTTGCAGGTCTGGTTGGCAACTTCCCTTCTAGCTGATGGGCTGGCTGTTGCTGGACAGGTCGGAGATCATTTCGTTAATGCTTGAAACTACTGAAATACTGATATTTACTAAATTAGGCAGATAACCAGTAGAGTTATGTAGTAAATAGATAGAAAGATCAACTTCTTGGCTGTTGAGTTTGGTTAGAACTGATGATGATCAACTGCCTTCGTGCTGAAATTTCCTGCTCCGCTTTCAGGCCATACTTGCAAGTGCATTTGCCAAAAAAGACTACGATAAGGCTACAGCCACTGCATCCCGAGTGCTACAGGTGTGTAAAAAATTTCAAAGAATCAGGTACAGATTTCATATGATGTCAGTTTCTCCAAATATTCGTAACTGCATTTAAACTGCAGCTGGGATTGGTTTTGGGTTTGATGCTCGCTGCCATGCTCGGAGTGGGGTTGCAGTATGGAGCAAGATTATTCACAAAAGATGTCAATGTGCTACATCTCATTGGCATAGGCATTCCAGTAAGTCCCTTGTCTCGAAGCAGAACACAATGTTCGACTTACACTTCTTCAATCCTAAATGGCATTTCAATTTGAACTAACAGTCTTCAATCCAAAATCAGTTTGTTGCAGCTACTCAGCCCATCAATGCCTTGGCATTTGTTTTCGACGGTGTCAACTTTGGAGCATCTGATTTCGCGTACTCAGCTTTTTCCATGGCAAGTCTTTAGTCCCTTTCTATTAATACAAGTAATTATGTGGGCTAATTAGCCTAATTAATTCCTTGGGATACAAGTTAACTTGATGATCACCATTCTCTCCAGGTTATGGTGGCTATTGTCAGCATCTTAGTTCTGTTTGTACTCTCCTATACCAATGGATTCGTTGGAATCTGGGTTGCTTTGACCATCTATATGAGTCTCCGGACATTTGCCGGATTTTGGAGGTATAATCTTACAGTTTTTGCCCGCGCGCCCTCACAAACACAAAAATTCCCATAACTTACAATTTTGGTATGCAAGTGCAGGATAGGAACAGGAACAGGACCCTGGGAATTCCTCCGGGCATAAATGTGAACCCGGTTTTACTCATTCGAAGGTTAAAACAGTTTTTTTAGCTTCCATTCGTTCCGTGCTGCCGATTTCATTTACAAGAAGATAAATCATACAAAAACCAAATCTGCATGTAACTTACAATGTTGGGGAAAATCCTTGATCAAATATTTAGCAACGCATTTTGTTTTCGTATAAGTTTATGAGTGTAGTTTTGAGAAAGGACTGCACATTCTCTGCATATTTCTCATACAATTGCATCCATGGTGACTGAATAACCAAATTGAAAGTGAACTTAATTTCATGTAATTGAAATATTAATCAAGATAGGAGTCAATCACGGAGAAATTCAAGTGCTAACGCAGAAGAAAAACGGGTTAGTAATCTAGCAGTACTTCTGTTTTCAACGTTGAAAAAAATGTAACGAGCTTGAATACCCAGGACAAAGAAAGTAAAATAAATTATTTCGTAAGTGGTCCAGCATCAAATCTAATCATCTCAAAGAAAAGAGAAAAAAAATTGAACAAATCCATACAAAAAATAAAGCAACTTTCCACTTATCCAAATCAAAAAGCAACTTCCCACCTATCCAAATCAAAAAGCCCCAACCCACCAAACTACCTATTGGAATCCACCTCATCACTAGATTCTCATAACAAGGAAACAGACGAAAGGAGAGGAAAAGCAATGCAGAGACAATCAAAGATAAGAAAGGACCAAGTGTACCACACTCTACCACCATCTGCCTCTGCAACAATTTATTTAAGATTCTAAGTTGCTCGGGGCTTTAATCGTTAGATCTTGTAACCTTATCTTTGATCAAGAATCCAACGATTGAAAACTCCAGAGTATAGAATACTCCAAAGTACACTAGAAAATTGCATCAGGTGCAAATTGCACCATCTTTCACTTTCTTGAAAGAATATGTTCTACTTTGTTCAATTAAAAAAAGAGCACACAACACAGGAAAAATAAATAAATATATTTATTCCTTAATTTCATTACAGTATCAAAGATGCATCTGACATTCGAAGAAAGAAAAAAGTTGCTCAAAATAATATAAACAAAAAATGGTAGAACAAGAGCTTCTGGCTTCTGCAGTTTTGCTTTTAAATAAAAAATAATTTAAGGGTAAAAAAGAAATTTAAATACTTAAGTTATGATAGATTTGGGACTTGGACTTGGGAGAGAAGATCCTTCACCTGGGTTGGTCTTCTCATAGAGTTTTATTCGTGAGGATCGACTTTCTTGGTCTAGACTTATTATTGAGTAAGTTTGTTCGGACTCTTGCTTTTAGGCCCGTTTTTCAACCCAAAAAAAATGAATGGTTCTTTTCTGTAGACTATGTTCAGTATCCTCCTTCTATCGTTACTGTTACCAACCCACTCAAGAATTTGTATTTCTGTTGTAACTACCTTCGACTCCAAGCCCAGTAAACATGATTTCGTTTTCACTAAGCAACATGTTGGTAAACCTGCAACTGCTCAATCCCTGCTTTGGAAACTGCATGACGTTTCAATTAGAACACTCGATAGGTAGCAGTGTGCCTGATTCTGGAACATGTGTAATTTCCTTTGCATCAGATGGTGATTCCTTCACCAGAGATTGAATCCATGAAACATCAGGCTCGTTGACATTGTGTTCTGTATAACTTAATTTGCTTAAATGACCTGGCTCATCTGTTTGAACAGACCAATCTAGTTTCGCACTGCTAGACTCCTATTTTGACATAGGCACAGGGGAACCAACACCATTGGATCCAACATCACATGAGTTGAGGCTGTATAGCGGCTTCTGCTTCTCGTGCTGAGCAAGAGTAGAGACCCTAGTGCCTATTGGAGAAAGAGGCTTCATGCTTCGAGGTGACATCATCCTCAGTGAGGAAAGACCAAATGGAACTTGCAAGAGATTCTGGTCAACCATCCTTGGAGAGAACACATTTGTTCTGATAGGAGATAACATTGATTGTTGCTAGTGGAGTTGATTGCGAACAACAGATATTTTTGAGGGTGAGAAAGCATATGAGTTTGCAAGTTGGTCAGCAAATCGAGGGGATGAGAGATGGGAAGTGAAAACATCATTGAGATTTGAAGGTGTCAAGGTTTCGCTACGGTGAAGATGACTCATTGAGGAAGCACTGATGTATGAATGTGAGAAGGAAAACCCATCATGAAATGATTGCTGTTGTTGCATTTCAAAATTATGCAACATGTTAACCTCCCGGTAGGAACATCATTTGCATTAAAAGAAGAGCTCAGACGACTTGCTTGCATATTTCTGCCTGGTAGATATAAACTAGGGATATGTTGTTGAGGCCATGCCATGGAATAGTCGAAAATACCATTACGAAGAGATATGGGAGGAGTAAAAGGAGGTGACATGGCCAGCACAGCTTTGGTCGAGCCAGGCAGCACGTTCAAAGTTGCAGCCATGTCCATGAAAACAGCAGCAGAGGTTGCTGAATGAGAGGATGGCATGGCAGATCCAGTAGAAATATACAAGGGTCGCATTTCCTCAAGTTTGTGGGCAAAGAAGCAAACCTGACGCAAGCAACTTATGCCATCTTTGCAGAGTCGAGTCTTATACTGTGCTGGATGAAGCCAGCACTCAAAAACCCCATGAGCATGTTCACATAAATCTCCACGTCTACATGTCCCCTTGCGAAAATCCAAGCATGGCATACAACTATACTGGAACTTTCTTGGGTCTCTTCTCCTTGCATTCTCACCAAGATGCACAAAAGGGCATTCAGTCCAATCATGTGAACAGGCTCGCGAACAAGGCCGGATCTTGAATGAAAACATTTGAAACTCATCTGTGGTATAAATGTTATTCTTGATGTTGGGAAGTGACAGATCAAAGAGGTGTTCTTTCTTTTCAGGTGTAGAAGAAACATGTATGTCATAAGTGTTACATGCGGAATCAGGGATTGATGATAGCAAGGAATTATTTGTCGGAGTCGTTGAAATAAATGGTGAACTAAATCCAAAACTAACACTTAAAGCATGGGCTGAACCACCATATTGTAAAAGCTCTGAAAGCACAACCTTCAGATTGGAACAATTCAGAGGAACAACAATAACATCTAAAGGGAAACATCCGTTGGCATCAGTAACACTGCGATCTGCACCAGCCTACAGAAGAACCTTCACAGTTTCAACAGCTTTTTCAGACCCACCAGACACAGCACAGTGAAGGGCAGTGGTCTTATCCGGGCCGAGAGAGAAGTTTACATCCGCCTTTGAAAGAGAAAGAAGCAACCATTAATGGAGTCCTATACTCAAGAACCATTCGTCTTGAAGCGCTATGGCAACCATACCAAAGTCCAATCTCATTAACCACAGCAAGGTCGCTGATAGACTGCTTAAAGCCCTCGACATCGTTATCAGCTGCAAGCTCAAGCAAACTGGAGAAAGAATGTTCAACTTCAACTGTTTTCAATGGAGTAGCCATGAATTTATTCACAGTCTCACTCTTGGGAAGATAATGGAACGGGAGACTTGGAACTTAACTGCTCCAGGACACCACACATGCTTCAATTAATAAATTCACCAAAAAAAGACACGAGGCCGAAACAGAATCATATACCATAATGCAAAAGACAATACAGAATCATATCCTTATCACATTTGAAAACAAATTTGGAATCAAATCTTTTCGAAAAGGAGAAAATAAGTTACCCTGATCTGCAAGAGGAATCAATCAGTAATACAAGAGACTTGAGACTAGAACTGTTAAGGAAGAACAGGAAAGGCATTAACTATTCTTTACCAATATGAAAACAGAAATTACCAGAAATTACAATTTGCTTAACATAAAAAGCAAAATCACTAGAAAATCTCATTGTGAAAAGAATATCATTTTTTTTAGGAAATAAAATTCCTTAAAGAAACCCAAAATCTTCCATTTAAATCCAGCTATCAATTGCACAAAAAAGTTATGAAATTTATAAAGTAATTAAAGGGCAAAAGAAAAAGATGGTAAGAAATTTGTACTCTGCTTCATAAGTTAAACTGTTGAACTTTGAATTATATGATGATGGGTTCTCTTTTTTTGCCTTCTCTTCCGCCATGATATCAGTTGTTGTCAATGAAAAATATTCAAATTTTAAATATTTTTCATTTTCTGACACTTTCTCAGCAACCAAACAGAAAATAAGCGACCACCAAATACAATGTAACTAAAGATTGAAATCATCTACATACAAACGCCATCTCAAATTTCAAAATTTGAATACCATCAACTCAAATAAACACTATAATTTCCCATCTGAAATCATAAATCAATATAGATAAATGAAAAACATATAAAACGAAGATGGACTTACAAAACAAAGGGCATATAAATTTGTAGACATATGCAATTAGAACCAATGGAGCCGCCATTGTAGGTTACCAATAAGATATAAAAAGTATGGTTAAGTGCGAATAACTACTCAATCTTTTGAGGTGATTTCAAATTAATCTCAATTTCTTAAAATATTTTAAATAACTACTTCAAGTTTTGAAAATTTGGATTTGTTAGGTCACTCGCGTTAAGTGATGATTTTTGTTACGTCCCGACCCACGAATAAGAACTATTCATGAGTTAGGGTGTGAGCTACATCTTATCTATAGAAATAATATCAACAACAAGAGTAATATAATCATAATATCAACAACAAAGTAATAATCGTTTTTTTTTTTTTTTTTGTCAAACGATAGATATTATTACATTATGTTAAATTTTAGACACCAATAGGGTTTGAACCCACACCGTGATGTAAGGGCTCAACTCCTTTCCACCACTGTGGTAAAATGTCACTTGCTAAAGTAATAATCTTAACAACACAAATGATAAACAATATGTTACCATTTCTCCTTTTTATTGTTTTCAATTTCATTTCCTCCCTTTTGTTCTCTTTCTTCCTTTGCCACTTTCCCTTTCTCTTCTTTAATGTAGCTGAAATTCTAAATATGTAATATGAGTCGAATTGCTGAAAAACTTCCATGAAAGTGAGCGACAGAAAACTGGAGATGTTGGCCATGCAAAGAGGTTAGCCAAGAAGGCCAGCTCAACCGTACATCAGTTGTTCGAACTAGCATACAAGTCAACATATAGATTGGATTGTTGTGATTTTTAGATATGTTATACAAGAGATGATAAGGAGAACCTTTTATAAAGGAACTATTTCTGTTTGAGCTAAGGAAGTTGGAGTT